AAAGAAAGAAAGAAAGAAAGAAAGAAAGAAAGAAAGAAAGAAAGAAAAGAGGAAAGATTTAGGTTCAACTCGCTCGTTCAATCAAAGAGCCCAACTCACTGTAATGATTCACTCTTAGTCTGGTGCCCAGGATTGTTGTAATATGTTGGGAGGTCCACATACACCCTCCTTTCAACTGTCCCAAATGGCAGGGTGTAGGTACCGTAAAATGTGACCCTTCATTCACATTTTAAACAAAGAAGGACCTTGATGGGAAAACAAGAGCTACAGTGCGAGATGGTGGAGACACCCAACCTCTCCACTCCATCCTCTGCTGTTGGGTGGTCCCCATCCAACCTGCAAGGCACCAAGTCCACCAGACTCTCTCAGAACCACCTGCACAGGTGAACCAGGGTGAGAGGGAGGGACTTGGCTGAGCCGCACCTTGGAGTCCCCGATGAGAGCAATGGCAATGGAGAGCTTGCGTTTCATGCCCCCGGAAAGGGCCTTTGACAAAGTGCCACGTTTCTCTTGTAAGTTGAGGATGTGCAGGATATGGGCGATCTCCCCCAGGCGTTTTTCAGCAGGAAAACCTTTCAGCTGAGATGGAAGAGAAAGAAAAAAAAAGGGTGTGAGGTCTCAACCTGGCCTTAGGGATTAACAGATGAGTTGGAAGGGACCTTGGAGGTCATCTAGCCCTGTCTTGCATCCAGGGAGTCCTCGTTTTACAAGCGCTAGGTTCCAAGTTACAGTGGACCAGGAAAATGGGAGTTATGATCTGAATCTGGAACCCAACAATCCTCCTCCCCGTTGCAGTCATGTGACTCATCAACGACCTGCGTTTACGACCGTTCCCAGTGTCCTGTGGTCACGTGACTGTTTTTCTTACAATGTTTTTGCCCCAAACCAGCACTGACTTCCGGTTTTAATGAGCTCACTTTTCGATCACAAAATTCCCTTAATGACTGCTGCAAACTTATTTTCCCACTATGGCTTCTTCTAAAGTGTCCTTATATTTGGAAAGCCCCTCCTTCCCTTTCATTTATTCCAAAGGGCCTTTGGTCATCCTTTGGTTGCCGGTGACTACGGTTTATGCTTTGGGAAACTGTATACATCTATATATATAAAAGCAAAATGCCACTCATGCATCATCACAAAATCTCCAAAACTGTAAAGCCTACAAACTTGAAATTTGGCATTTTTGAAATGACCATCAGAGCATTAGTATTTCGTATACTATTATTATTAACATGCTCTGATGCTAAGGAGTTCTATTTCCCCTCCCCACCTGAAAAGAAATCTATTCCAAATGCAAAACACAAGCAGAGGAGTTTTAGTTTCAGTTTCACAGCACCAAGCAGCTTTAGTACAGAACAGTTGAGCTAAGCCACGCCCAGGCTCCTTGTTGTCTCCTTCTTGCTCACACAGCAAATACTCTTTCGGTTTTCAAACAGCCCTCAGCTCTCTCACACACTGACAGGACGTTAGCCAGATGACCCATGGATGCTGGTAGGCAGAGCTAGAATTTTTCCCCCTTATTTTCCTCCCCCAAAACTAAGCCCAATTAAACATTAAGTCCAAGTAAACATTGACCAAAGTTTTACCCCAGAGTAGAAGTACAGGTGCTCTTCCACCGTCATGTGGTCAAAGAGGACATCGTGCTGAGGACAAAGACCCAGGCTCTTCCGGATGAGAACCATGTCTTTGGAGATTTCGTAGCCATTGATGTACGCCTGTCCACTTGTAGGGGGATACAGTCCTAAGAAACAGCCAAGGAGAAAAAGGGGACACAGCTTAGGGCCAAATATAACTCCGGGCAACGTAACAATGGGCAGTCGTAAAAGTCTGAATTATTTATAAATAAGTCAATAGAAGAAGAAGGAGATTTAAGAGACATTAGAATCATCATCATCATCATCTTTTAATGACCCCATAATCCCTGCCAGGGTGGAGTCCGGGCCACTGAATGGAGCTGGGTATTTACTGGCTGGATGCCCTTCCTGTTGCCAATGTGGATTTATATTCTCAGTTGAGATATATTCTCAGTGTGCCCAGAGAGAGTGAAATATCTGCCTTTACCTAGGATCGGACTCACAGCTTCCTGACTGTGAGGCGAGAGCCCCACCTCTAGGCCATCACACCACTTAAGGGACGTTAGAATGAATGGGAAGAAATTAGCTGCAATTGTTAAATCCCATATAAATCAACTTTAAAGTTAACTAAATTAACATCCAACCTCTCGCTTGTATCCTTACGATTTATATTGACTGTTTCCTAGTATGATTTGGTTGCTTATTGTACCTATGACTATCATTAAGTGTTGTACCTGATGATTCTTGACTCTTGACGAATGTATCTTTTCTTTAATGTACACTGAGAGCATTTGCACCAAGACAAATTCCTTGTGTGTCCAATCACACTTGGCCAATAAAGAATTCTATTCTATTCTATTCTATTCTATTCTATTCTATTCTATTCTATTC